TGCTGAAGTTTGACATGACTTAGTAAAATTCACGGTCCACGCTAAACACATTTAAAGCCAGGCAAAAACACTTCTCAATTTAGAATAACCTCACACCCCTGAATTACTAGAATCCTGTCAATGAGAGAATACATTAACTGCACATCTGCTGTGCAGCTACTGAGCAGCCTTGGGTGTTGACATGAATTCACAACCAGAGCCATGGGCAAACAGCAAGAGAGTGTAAACATCCATAACATCTCTTGTGTTTGTTAAAGCTAGGGGCTTAGAACACACTTTACCACAAATATTTGTTCACATAATTAAGGAATTCACCCAGTCCATGTGTCATATTTTGAGCATGTTGGGCTCCCATAAATAACTTGCCTGGACCCTCTAAAATGCTAAAGCCAGCCCTGCTGGGCCTCCATGTAGAAGTTGCTTATGGTGTCCATCTCCTTGTCTATCCATGCTGCAAAGGCTGCTTAGGGCACTGTTCTGACACTGCTAGCAATTGCCCATCTCGGCTGTCCCAGATGCAGATTCTGTGTCTTCTGACATCTCTGCCATGGTCTAAGGTTATGCCATCTAAAATCAATATATGGTGTTCTATGTTTTCCATGAGGGCACATACCTGGGAACTCAGTTATTGCTCACACATTTCCACTTAGTTACTGGTCATGCTCACCATTTTCCCCCTGCATGTCTCAACTTACAGAGGCCATGTAGAGCTAGAAATTCGTGGTTTTTCCATCTACCGGTATTTGGATGATAGGCTATATCATCAGATTTCTCTATATGGGTTATACCACTGGATATCCATTTGACCCTACATGCTTATAAAATATAAGAAACCCCCCCTCCAGCCACTTTCCCTTCCCAAGCCACTTACTTGGCCCTCCTTCTGGGTGCTAGTGCAAATATGATTATGAGTAATAATTTTTAGAGCAGATTAACATGTAGGAACACAAATTGGAATTGATTTGAGTCAGTTTGTGGTTAGCAAATTGCTTTTCATGATGTCTTACCTATACCCACAGCTTAAGCCACATTTTAGTCAGACATTATCTGGTACTAAAAAAATAAATCTGCAAGCAGAAATTGTATAAGCTTTTAAAACAAAACATCATTGTTCTTTTGATAGACTTCAAACGAGATGAGGAAATTTTAGCTATGGTTATGATACATCTCTGGGTGCTCTTAATACCAGAAGCAACTTTAGTTTTGTGTAAAGTGCTGTTGTCAGAATCTCCTGATTTTTAGGTATAAATCTCAGTGGTCACAATTACCTATGTAGTATCTTCAGTTTCTAATATACCCATTAAAAAATAGGACAGAACATCAAATTAAGGAGGTCTAAATGAGAAAATAGATTTTCTACTGTTTTTTTCTGAGGAAAGGGATTATTATTAAATGATGTTTAATAAGCACTCAAGTCTTTTTGGGTTCCTGCAGATGTGCGGGGAGGCTACTCAAATGCATTGTAATTACAGTGAATTGGAGCAGATTATTAACTGAGTTGATTAATCGAGTCTGCTGGAGCATGCTAATTAGCGACCTCCAACAGCCTCTGCATCTCAGGTACCAGCATCTCCATGTTTCAAAATGGCGGTGAGGGCACTTTAAAGCTCATCCAATGAGCTTTAGTTAAAGTGCCCCCACCGCCATTTTGAAGCACAGGGATGCTGATACACAAGACAATGCAGGTACTTTGATTAGAGCGGCTCTCAGAGATACTCTAATTAAAGCGCTCCCCCCACCCCCAGAGCATATGTTAAAATGCCCTTTAATTATAGTGCACTTACATTAATCATGCACACAAGCATTGCTTTACGTTCAATAATTATAAAGGTTACAAGAAAAAATTTACCAGAGGAAATTAAATACATCTGTACCTATTAAGCCTTTGTTAGTATATAATAAATATGATATATTAACAATAACCATAAGCAAGTCAAAAAGGGAGCAGCAGTCCCTGTCAGATATATTATTGAAAATCACAGTAACAGAGGAAAATATCACTTCTTTTGCATTTCATTTAGGATTCTGTGTTGCAATTATATTCATATATAATACTGTTTTTCTTTTTTATATTAGAATTTCAGCAGCGAGAGCTACTTGTTTGATTCTTTTGCTAGGCCTGAGTCTGCTGTTGCCTATGACCTGCTTCAAAGGAAACTCAAATCAATGGACAATCTCCCTTTGAAAATTAGAACCATACATACTATTGATGGTCTGTCCTCATCCACTGTTTAATCTGATATTAATTTGTTGACCTGTTGTGGTTCAGTGGCAGAATCCTTGTCTGCTTTGTCAGGTTTGATTCCTGGACATGCACATAACTACAGCCATCGAGGCAACAAATGTCTGGACTCAGTCTGGCCTTTGGATTCTCAATGGTCTAAAGCGGGAGGGAGCAGACTCTACTCCTCCATACTGCTAGATGTGTATGTCAAAGGTCTGGGTGATCATACACCATGACCCAAGATGATTGGCAGTTTCCTACTACTAAAATTTGTTGACTTCAGTGGATTTTTTCCTGGTTCGTATTATAATACTTAAGAAGAAAACAAGGCCCATTATCTTCAGAAAAACATTCTTTGCTTCCTGTCTTTAATTCTCTTTGCATATGATACTCCCTTCAAACCTAGAATGATTTGTATACCACCGCTTGGCCTTTTAACCCATTTCACAAAGAGAGTGGCTGCAGATTTTCATGAAAACAGTTTACTCGAGATAGTGTTGCCCAGAGTCTATCGTAATATTTAGAAAGAAAAACATATGACAGATGGTGAAGCAACAATTATATAATAAACTAAACAGAAACTCTTTGTTTTTAGATGTTTATGCTAGAGGCCATTCTCAGTTATTAGCAGAATGATTGAGTTTGTGATTTCACCCCTAGTTAAACATGATCTTTTAAAAATAAAAACTATAATGAATACAAATAAATGCTTTAGAAATGGTTTCCAGTACTTTTCTTTTAAGATGGTTTAATATAGGTTTGATAAGGAGATGTCTTAATTAGCTGTATAGGAGACCTGCCATTGATTATTGTATCCTATAGCAGGGAAAAAAAACTAAGGATATTTGTTTGATGGGAAGGACAAGAGAACTCTTTCTTAATACTTAAACACTGCATTGATGAAACATAGTTAGCCAGGGTATTGATATTGGAGAATATATACTCCAATACTGAAGACCATATAATTGATATATGAAGTCTCTTGTTCAACTACACTATTATTTTCAGATGTAGAATTGTATTTGTTTTGTTTCAGAATTTCTGAGAATTTCTCAGTATCCACAACTGAAATAAGAAATGGATAAAAGATATAGCAAATAAACTATAATTTGGCTTTTACTTCTTCTATGGATTGTATTACACTTTGAAACTCCTGCTCTTTAGAAAATGATGGGTAAAACTATTCCTTATTTATGGCCATTCAAAAAAGTTGAACATATAGCTTGCTGTTAGAAAGATGTGCTATATCTAATGGTACAAATGGAAAAATGCTATGATTCTGCTATTTCTCAACAATTCATACTTTTAAGGATAGAGAAATGCTGTTATTTTTTCCTGATTTTTATTTACAAATGAAAATAAGTCTATTTTAATACATTTTATAACATTTCTTCTTCCTTCTCCCTTCTGTTTAATATTTTAAGTATGGAAAATTTTCCCTTTCTGTTTAGCAAAAAGGAGAGGTTTTGAATTCAATCTGTCATTCCACCAAGGTTATGGAATCTACAAGATATCCAATGAAAACCACCAGCACCATGATGATGATGATAAATCTATATCATATCACAACTTGATGAACTATGACAGTGAAAATACAAAAGAATCTCAAAAAGAGAGCAGCAAAATTCTTAATTCTACCAATACTGAGTTCAGCACCATACCCTTGGAGGACAGCTCCTTGCTTAAAGATACCAATAAATGCAAAAAACTGGACACTACAGAGATCAAACAAGATCTTGGGAAAGACAAGAATATGGACCATCTCCTTTCTGAAAAACTAGGAACATTTAAAAGAGAAGAAGTCAGAAATTTTGAGAAATCCATGTTTTTGGAAGGACAAGAGAGAAGGCTGTCTCATGAGGAAAGTCGTAAACCAGAACTCTCAGATTGGGAATGGTGCAGAAGCAAGTCTGAAAGGACTCCACGCCAGGTAAAGCATGCTTTTCAGTTTTTAAATTTCTTTAATTCCTTTGAAATACATTTTTAATTTTGCTTGAAAAAAATGCCGTTGGCCCTATTAATAATGCAATTTTTTGCAGTAGAAAATACAGGTTCGAACAGACAGTCACACCAAACATGTTAA